ATCGCCTCGTCATCTCGAAGATGCGTATTCGCCTACAGCCTCGCAGGAGACCACAAGGTAAGCGACCCCCAGGTAAGCTGAATGTTGCTTTGTTGTCTTTGCCTGCTCATCATCTTCATTTCGGCAATGAGCTAGCTCAACGACTAGACAACCTTCCTATCGCTGCCGCAGCCGACGACGCCGCTGCCGCCGCTGCAGAGAACACCTCCGTGGAGAACCGCTGGTGTCAACTGCGAGACACGGTCCAGTCGACGGCGCTCGCCGTCCTCGGTCGCGCTCCCCGCCAACATCAGGACTGGTTCGACGACAACGACGCCGCCATCAGAAAACTGCTTGCCGAGAAGAACCGCCTACACAAAGCCTACGTAGATCACCCCACTGAGGACAACAAAGCTGCCTTCTACCGCAGTCGCCGACAGCTTCAGCAACGGCTGCGCGAGATGCAGGACGCCTGGACTGCTCGCAAAGCTGAGGAGATCCAAGGCTACGCGGACCGCAACGAATGGAAGAACTTCTTCTCCGCGATCAAAGCTGTCTACGGTCCGCCGACGAAGGGCACTGCTCCTCTCCTCAGCGCCGACGGCAGCACTCTCCTGACTGAGAAGACACAAATCCTACAGCGATGGGCCGAGCACTTCCGAGGCGTCCTCAACCGCCCTTCCGTTATCTCCAACGCCGCCATCGCCCGCTTGCCGCAAGTGGCGACCAACGTGGACCTCGACCTCCCGCCATCTCTCCAGGAAACGATCAGGGCCGCGCAGCTGCTCTCCAGCGGAAAAGCACCCGGATCGGACGCCATCCCTGCGGAGGTCTACAAGCACGGAGGTCCCCAACTGATGGATCACCTGACTGCGCTCTTCCAGGAGGTGTGGCGTCAAGGTGAAGTCCCGCAAGATTTCAAGGACGCAACTATCGTGCACCTTTACAAGCGCAAAGGGAATAGCCAAGTCTGCGACAATCACCGCGGCATCTCCCTGCTGAACATCGCCGGGAATATCTTCGCTCGCATCCTGCTCAACCGCCTCAATAACCATCTGGAACAGGGCCTTCTGCCGGAAAGCCAATGCGGCTTCCGTCGTCATCGTGGGACCACGGATATGATCTTCGCCGCCCGCCAACTTCAGGAGAAGTGCCAGGAGACGCGGACCCACCTGTACTCTACCTTCGTGGACCTGACGAAAGCCTTCGACACGGTGAATCGTGAAGGATTGTGGAAGATCATGCAGAAATTCGGCTGTCCGGAGCGATTCACTCAGGTGGTGCGTCAGCTGCACGACGGTATGATGGCGCGAGTCACGGACAACGGAGCTGTCTCAGAGGCATTCGCAGTGACCAACGGACTGAAGCATGGCTGTGTGCTGGCACCAACCCTCTTCAGTCTTATGTTCTCTGCCATGCTGATGGACGCCTACCGCGACGAACGCCCTGGAATCCGCATCGCCTACAGAACGGACGGTCATCTCCTGAATCACCGGCGCATGAACTTCCAAT